GCAAATTATGAATTTTTCAAAAAAACATTTTTTTATAAACTAAGAGAAGCTAAACCCTAAGGGTGGGAAACCTTAATACTAGGGAAGCCTAAACCCTAACAAACTAAACTAAGGTATAGTGAAATCTAACTCTAGTGTTCGGTTAGNTTTTGGAAGGGAGTTTTATACTCACGTCGCACTTCTCTTTCAAAAATAACTAAACCCTAAAAATGGAGAGTCTTAATGCTAGAGAAACATTAACCCTAACAAATTAGACAAAACTATGGTTCAATTTAGTTCAGCTATAGTTAAATATAGCTCGTATATGTAGTGTTCGATTAGTTTTGACTGATTTTATACTCACGTCACACTTCTCTTTCCAAAAGAACTAAACCCTAAGAATGAGGAATCTTAATCTTTGAGAAACATTAACTCTAACAAACTATGCATATTTATAATAAACCAAACAATGAGAACATTAATATTTATGTTGTATCTTATTATTCATTATAATATATTCATCTGAGTTTAAGACTTTAAAATGTAAGGAATTTGTTCTCTTATTAAATTTCGACTTTTGAATATTTGGTGTCGTGATGCGTGATTTGTAAGCTTTTATACACAATTTTCTTCAATAAATATTACTACATAAAAATATATGCAATCTTATTAAATAAATTTAACTATATTTAAAATAGGGAAGTTTTTAAAAAATAAATAATGAATTCGATAAAGTTGCAGATTGATTATGAAGAGAAGCAGTGTCTCTCTCAGTTCTTTTCAAACTTTTAATTACTTTGTCCCTCGACTCCTTGTATCTCTCGTTAATGAAGATTACAATTCTATTTTCTCCAGGTAATGAAAATGCAAGACGTTTTAAAAAAAAATGAATTTTATATATAATAACCAAAAACCCCCATAAATATCTACTGTAAACATCAAAAAAAAAAATAACTTAAAAATGATAGGTAGACAAATCGGAAAAAAATAAGATCATCGAATGAATATAATTAAGTAAAAATGGAAAAAGATTTAATAGAATGACATGAAAATAACCAGTGGCGAAGAATCTAAACAGGTTTAGAGTGATATGGTTGTATAGATTGGCAACAGGCACTGATCATTCTCTGTGGGTTAGGGATCCAAAAGCATCACCATCCTTGTTTCGTGTTTAACTTGGCATCTTATGCAACATGCATCCAATTACTCTGTTTTGAGAAAAGATGATATATAAACTCAAAAATGAGTCTAATAACTCAGAACAAGAACTCCAAATTTCAAGAAGAAGAAGAATAATAAATGTTCATGGTTGCTTTTGTTTTCCAGATACTACAGAAACTGGAAATATGACTCTGATCTAGGAAGAAAGATAACTGAAAAAATATAAAATTACTCTCAAAGGAAAACAATAAACGAAACGTTGCATTCACTCTCGTGCATCACCAAAGTTTGTTTCTTAAGGTGATCGAGCGATTCGTGATCTCACGGGTGTCTTTGAAGGGCTTACCCTGAAGAAATCAAAGATCCTTCAATAACAAATTTTGATATTCCAATGAAAAAAGGCTTATTACAAAACGTAAACATATGTACCTTATCGGCTGAGATCCTAAAACTATTCCGCTGCAGTTGAGCGCCGCAACTGCGCTCTCTGCCTTTATAATCCCGAAAACAAAACACATATTCAGTTGTTCGGTAAAAGTAAGAATCATAACACTAATGAAAGAGGTCACGAAAGCTGAGTTTTTGACCGAATCATGATGAGCTTACCATGGCAAATTCAACGAAAGCTATGCGAGTAGAATGCAATTGGTCACCAAGAAGCCTTAAGCGAATAACCTGTATAAGGGAAGAAGTGCTATTGTCGCATTTAAAGATTTCATATTGTTTTCGAGAGAAAGATGAAAATAGTAGTTTCCGGGTTCTAGACTGACCTCACCGCAGCCAGACTCAAAGAAGGTTTTGACATCATTTTCAGTGGCCTGCAGGTTTATAGAAGTATCTTAAAACCGAGAACAAGTACGCAACATGTTCAATAGATATAAACATTAACCCGGGAAAGAGCATTTACATTCTTGTCGACATTTGTGCAGTAGATGGTCCTTGTACACATCTCTCTTTCATCTTCTGACTGAATAACACACCCGAGGAGCAAACAGTATAAACCATAGATTAAGCTATAAAACTCGAAACTTTGAATCAAATTTGACTTTTTTTAAAAGTGGAAGTTCTTATTTGTTACCCTGGGGAGAAATGTGGGATTCACTGGAAGGATAGCGGTTTTCGAAGGTAAGACCCTAACTGGATAGTATCCGATCATTGTTCCACCGAGAGTTAAAGCCGCTCGTGCACCTTCTGTTTTAAACCAAATCCTTACTAATATAAATCAAACTTGACATTAAATTTCCATTAACAAGATTACAAACCCAACAGCTTTCTAACTTACGGTCATCAGAAAACTCAACAAATGCAAAGCGAAGAACCGAATGTGGATCTCCACAGATTCGACAATCAACAACCTTCAATACAAGAACTCAATGTCACTTCACGAACAAAGAAATACCAACCGGAAACAATGAATTCCAACTTACTTGTCCATAACCGCTGAACAAGCCAGCGAGAACTTCCTCAGTCACCTAATCGAAAAAAGAATCGCAATGATGCAAATTGAAATTCCTTTTAGAAAAAATCTAAAGAGAGAGAGAGACTTAAGTAACTTACACTCTGATCAATGTCAGAGACATAAACTGTTCTTCTAATACTATCTTCTCTTTGAGCCTTTGAAGCTCTTCCAGGTAACCTCACTCTCCTCCCTTGGTTATAATTGCTTCTTCTCTG